TGAACGCGGGTTGTGGCAAACCCGAGGGCAACTCCTGCCGGGAATGGCCCAGCCCGGCAGAGCGGGAGGAGCAGAGGAGGCACCTGGCGACCCAGCCGGTCCTACATCGGCCATTCGGCCTCGGGAGGGTGGCTGGGCCAAGATGGCTGAGCTCCCCCCTCCCAGCTGGGCAAGGGATGCTGTTGCCGCCAGCAGGCGGATAAAACTTCCTAAGACTTAATTTAAAGTTCAGGAAGCAGGCATTCTTTATTGCGGCGCCGGGTGGCCAGGGGATCGCTCCTCCTGTTGTGCGCACTGAATGCTGTTGTCCAATTAAATTTATACACAACAGGTTTACATATTCAGTGTAGTTCCAAGAAAACATCAGCATATTCATTACATTTCTGAGAATTCATGTACATATTATAATAAGCTGTTGGGCATGTGTAGTTGTGCCTTCTAGTGGTCCTCATTTTGAGTGAGGGTCGTTTCTTCCTCAGTCTTCATCTTCTTCACCTCTCCTTTGGCTCACTTTTCATGTTGGCAAAACATTCTAACTGCTTAATTGTTCATTAAAACTAATGATCTCCCTGCTACCACCCGTTTGTCAGACAATGTCCATATTTATTGCATCCCTGTCTCAGGTCACCATGTTCTTTTCTTATTTTACTCACAGCAAAGAATTTCTTAATATCTTTTACCAGTTAAACACTCTAATTTCCCACTTTCTCACTAAGTCATTTTTTTTTTCCAATGGATTAAAAAGCCTTGCCATACCGCTCTGTTTCATATGTTCTTTATTACAAGTGAAATAACCAGAAAGGAAATAACAAGATCATCTGTTCTTCCAGCTGGTAACCAGAGCATTATTTTGAAATGGTCAGTTGAGATCAGCCCTGGATAACACATGGAGTTTGTTTAGTTATTGCACTACACTGATAACTGCACTGATAACAGAAAACCTCGTGAGGAACCAGGGCACCGGGTGATTTACTTCTCTCTTGGGTTCACAATTTAAATAAGAAAAAATACCCAAGATATCCAGGTTCTTGTGTATTGATTTTAATGGCTACATCCTGCTACTTGAAAGATATTGCTAGATAAGGGCCAAAGGAACTTCTAAAAGCCAAATATCATTGTATTCCTTTTGATTCTATTTTTCCGTGGTTCTATAGCAAGGTACCATTAGTGAACTGGCTCAGACCTTCAACCCTAGTAGAATTTAAAGAATTTTAATATACTGATAATGAAGCAGAAACTAGCAAACTAGAAGCATTTTAGCCAAGGCTAGTTTCATAACAGTGTCTTGAGCAAGATTGTTAAAAAACACACAGATGGGATTAATCCGAAATTATTCTCCAAGGCTTTTGGTGTTTTGCCATGGTTCCTTCCTCCACAACATTGCAAAAAAACAGAAAAATTTGGCCTTCAGTTACTTTCCATATTCACCAAAATATGGGATAAAATCCAACGAGTCCTGTGTCGATAATGCCAAGTTCAGAACTTTGGTCATTACAAAACATGAGATCTGTGGGCTCAACGTGGGCTGATGCTGAAAAAATGTAGGGTCTTACCATTAGGCAGCTTTGGGTCTGGGACTCATGTGGATTGGTGTCCACTGAAAGGACAGAGAGGGCTACGAATGGCACAATAAAATTCTGCTTTCTACAGTCCCAACCTAAGCATTATGGTCAGGGTCCCAAAAAGCATTTCAATCCTAAAATTCCTTTTAGAGAGGAGTTCAAACAGGTTCCTTTTAAAGGTCAGAGAGAAAATGGCAACAAGGAAAATCAGTTGCTGTTCCCCTTAGATCTTTCCAAATGAATATGTGTTGTAAAGGTATCAAAAATCACATGTCATCAGGGACTAATTTGCATATTAAGAAAGAAAACATGTAGGACTAGAGAAGAGAAGACTGAGGGGGGATCTGATCAACACCTATAAACACTTAAAGGGTGGGTGTCAGGAGGATGGGGCCAGGCTTTTTTCAGTGGTGCCCAGGGACAGGACAAGAGGGAATGGGCACAAACTGGAACATAGGAAGTTCCACCTCAACATGAGGAGGAACTTCTTTCCTGTGAGGGTGGCAGAGCCCTGGAAGAGGCTGCCCAGAGAGGTGGTGGAGTCTCCTTCTCTGGAGACATTCAAACCCCCCTGGACACGTTCCTGTGCAACCTGCTCTGGGTGGAGCTGCTCTGGCAGGGGGTTGGACTAGATGATCTCCAGAGGTTCCTTCCAACCCCGTATCACTCAGTGACTCTGTGACTGCACAGAGCCGAGCTCACTGATTCCCATGCTTACAGGCATCCTTAACTCTGTGGCATCACTTGCTACTTGTACGTGGCCATGAGATCTGTGGCTTTTTCCTCTTCTACTTATTTTTTTAAACTGTTTGTGTGAAGTGACTACTAAATTCCCATTAGCATTTGTCTGTGGAGAAATTACAGCTCACAGTGGACAAAGACTTAGAGTCTTGACATGACATTCAATCTAAATTTAAATACAATTCTCTCTTCTTGACAATCTGTGTAATGATATGCCATATAGCTACCATGGGTAATCTTTTTTCCTGTGGGTAAAACATTTGGCAGAAGTACTGCTTTCTGTTGTTGCACCCTGGAAGTGCTAACAAAAGCTTAAGCAGACACAGCACTTGGTTAAACTCAGAAATATTTACAAGGCGAAAAAATGAAAGTACCACAGCCAGCTTTCCCAATAACTAACAGAAAGTAAATATGTTTTTATAACTTCAGAACAGGATGCAAATAAAAGAGGAAGTCAAGCCACAATTAAAAGATAAGCTTCAATATCACACCCGAAAGAACCCAAACACAGTTTGTGTGTTGTTCCTCCTTTTCCCTGCCACTCCTCATTCTCCTGCAGGGGTTGTGCTGCTGTGGCTCGGTACGGATACGGGGAGACCTGCTTATCCAAGCCCTGCAGAAGGACTTGGGGGTGATGAGTAAAGTCAGGGCTTGGAGATGCCTCAGTCTCCGGTGCCCAGTGTGGAAAGGAGTGTTATGGCTAGAAATAAGTACGTGTGTGCTGTCACCAGACCAGCAAGGGAGCATGAAGCCCCCAGAGGTGCTTCTCCTCCTGCTTGGGCTTCGTTGCTGGTTGTTGTGCAAACAGGAAAAAATAACCAGGCTGATAAACTTGGTTTGGGTAACTAGAAATCCTAATGGAGGGGAAAAAAAATCCATAGCAGAACTGCTCTGGTTCCTCTAAAGGAACCTGGACTTGAACACACATTACTTCATTGGCTCATGGTTTCCCTCACATGGGTTTGATCCTTCTTTGATCCCAAAAGCTCATCTCTTGTGCTAAAATCATGGTCTTGGAGGACGGCTGTTCCCCTGGAGCTCCCTTGGTGTGGGGTAGGAGTGCCTAGTGTGTGAGGAATCGAGGAAGGTGACTTTGGGGTTCCATCTCTGGGTTCTGTGGTCCTCTACAGTCAGGTAATAAGGTCTGAATCTCTGGCACACTTAAGGGAACCACCCAAAGCCATGCACCAAGGCAGTATCAGAATGAAAAAATAAAAAAGGCTCCTGAATCACGGTCTCATGGTTTTCTACTTCAATCTTTAGCAAAACTTTGAAATATGAAACTCTCAGGTCTAGTGACATCGTGCTCCACTCCCGCTTTTGTAAACAGCTCAAGAAATTGAAGTTCTTACATCAACTGATGTATCATTGTTGATAAAGCAACACAGAGCCAGAATGGCTGTGAACTTATGTTCCAGGTTAGATCCAGCAAAGCCTTTCACCAAGCAAGTGCTTGAGAACAAGGAGTGGCTCCACTGGAAACAATGGAACTACCCACAGGGCTGGAGCTAAGGATGTATTTAAGTGTTTTGCTTGATTCCAGCCCTAAGATCTAATCTGAAGGCTGAAGAATTTCACGGGGAGTTTTCCAACTTTCCTCAGTAGGCTTTGAACCTATTTAAGCTAAAAAATATATTTCCAGTGCCAAGAAGGTCATGGAATTATGTCATGTACTTAATTTTTTATGGTCTTTTTGCTCCTGCTGAATTCTTTGGGTTGAATACATCCAAAACCCGGATTAATTATTAGTAGTACTCAGAAATACATAGTGCATATGAGGAAATGAATGATAACTTTTCTTGCCACTATTCCACCATTCCAAAGTATTTACAACTCTGTGTTTAATTTACTCTAATAAAAAAAAAAAAAAAAGCCCAAAAATATTTAGCTCGTAGTACAGCCAAATTGTGTTGCACTTATTTGTCCAAAGTTTCTAAATGTAATCTTCAAATTATATGCCAAATTTCCTGCAGGTGGTGGTAAATCTCTCACAGGAATGAGTTTCAAATTGCTTGCCATTGTCTGGAAGAAAGTATTTCTTTTTGAAATATAGGTAGGGCCACAGTCTGTTATTTTATTCTAAAAAGAGGTTGCAAGAGCAAGAGAAAGCAGAGTATTTGCTTAGCACTCTGAAATGTGTCACTGCTTGTGAAAGTACATGAAAGTGATCACAGTTCCTTGGGTCAGAGCCTGAAGAGTCCCACAGGAGCAACAGGAGGGGTTTGATTTTTTGAGGAAAACCTAATTTTAGTTGAGGGGAAAGAGAAATGTTGTTCTGGGATCCAGCTTTGACTGAGATCTGAAACGTTAAGAGGTTTTAGTGCTGGTGATGGGCAGGTACCTTCAGTTGTCTTACAGTGCACATGTCGGCATTAAACAGGGGTATGCAGAGATCTGGCAAAAGCTCCGGAAGCTATTAATACAAAGTTTCCTACTCCAAGCATATTCCAGCCCACTGATAGCAGAAACGGTCAACACACATTCCTGCCACAGCTCAAAATCACCCAACCGTACGATACCGCCTACAGCTTCGCTATCAATACTTGCATTTCACCAGAAAGGCATTTCTGCTAATCAAAATGCTTCCAAAGAATACAAAGTTCCAGGTTCAGCCTTTTACTCAGGTCAGGGCTCTGCGAGAATCAAACATTTTCTCATTGCCACCTGGCAAAATTTCAGCGATTTCTTCAGAAATTTCAACATAACTGCATTTGAGTTGAGTAAGCTTTCCCCACCCCCCAGCCCCCTCTAGACTTCAGTTGCTCAACATAAAGGCACCATAAAATATTTCCTCTCAGATTCCGCATAAAGCACTTGCAGAATTCTTCTGGAGACTTGGAGCTCTTCCACAATGGTAAGTCGAAGGTTTAGAAGTTTTTACTGGGGCTACAGGTAGCTATTTTTGCTTTAAAAACAGAAAAGAAAGTTATTTAAGAGAATCACGTAGTTAGACATTTTTAAATAGGGATACATTCTATTTAAAACTGCAAGGTACAGAGAGAGTAAGACACCCTTGTGAAGATTAGTGTGAATTTTGTTCTTTGCTTTGTAATTCTCAGCAAGAAACTGTACACTTATATCTCTTGGGTCTTTCACTTGCTGTTATCCTTTTCTCAGGAAAGTTTGTGAAAATATTCAGAGTTTGTTAAACATTAAGGACCACACTTTTTAAACCTATAAATGTGAAATACAATTTAAAGATAGTCCCTTTACAATGAAAAGTGTAATATACGGTGAGTTTTTTCTGCATTTCTCTTTTAATCTATCAAGTTGTGCCCCATTTCAGCTCTTCTAGCCTCCAAACATGTTTGCAGAATCTGAATCAACAGTGAGTTAATGCTTAATAGATCGACAAAGTCCTGTGGCCCAGTTTTCCTCTAATTTATGCTCATGTAATCCCCAAGGGGACAGATATCAATTACTACCTTTGATGAGAATCACAGGAATGGCATAAGTTTTACAGAAAAGGCAGTAGTTTCTGTAATATATCTAGATTAATAAAAAAAGGGAGAAATTATCATCTAATTCTTTCTGTGCCTAAGCTTTCCTGAGGGCTTATCTATACTTGGACGAGACTTGGGTGAACAAAAAAGATGTGGTATCTCATTCTGCATTAATTCACCCCTTTTCAAAGGCTGAAAAGGCAGTAGTTTCTGTAATATAACTAGATTAATAAAGAAAGGGAGAAATTATCATCTAATTCTTTCTGTGCCTAAGCTTTCCTGAGGGCTTATCTATACTCGGACGAGACTTGGGTGAACAAAAAAGATGTGGTATCTCATTCTGCATTAATTCACCCCCTTTCAAAGGCTGTTAAATCCAGTTTGGAAGATTCTATTCTGCAAGATGGCTGACTACCTTTGATGAGAATCACAGGAATGGCATAAGTTTTACAGAAAAGGCAGTAGTTTCTGTAATATATCTAGATTAATAAAAAAAGGGAGAAATTATCATCTAATTCTTTCTGTGCCTAAGCTTTCCTGAGGGCTTATCTATACTTGGACGAGACTTGGGTGAACAAAAAAGATGTGGTATCTCATTCTGCATTAATTCACCCCTTTTCAAAGGCTGTTAAATCCAGTTTGGAAGATTCTATTCTGTGGCCTCCCCTTTTTAAGAGAGCAAACAAGAAAAATAAAATAAAATTAAAAATTCCTTGAAGTGGCTTGCTCACAGACCACCCAGAACAACACAGCGACGATGTTTAAGTAAGAGCCCTTGGCATCAGTGTAACAGTAATAATCTGACATACCTGACATATCCTGTGGTTGGTCCAGCGTAAAACCAGTTTGGACAGTGATCAGACACGACAGGCTTCCCCTTCTGTTTCTCTTTAGACTTGGTGGCAGGTCCAGAACTTTGAGCTATAGAAAGAGGAGCATGCCCAAGTTCTTCTGACCAGCACATCTAGGAATAGCAAGATAAGGATAAATGTTGGAGCAAGCAAAGGATAAAACGTTCACAGAAGACAGCCCAGCACAGCAAAAGAAGGATTTTAGTCTTTTCTATAAAGACATGAATGACAGCAGTAAGACCCTGTGGTAGAACTGGCCTGTGCTGCGGCAGAGACCAGCTGCAAAGTTACATCCTACAACTCTGTGGAAGAGGACTTACTTGGACAATTTTCCTTTGGCCAGTGTTGTGGTTTAAACCCAGCCAGCAACTAGGACCACACAGCTCTTCACTCACTCCCCCTTTCCCTCTTTTCTCCAGGAAGATAGGGAGAAGAGGGCAAAAAGAGGGGGGGGGGAAAAAACCCAAACAAACAAAACCTTGTGGGTTGAGATAATGGTAGTTTAATAGAACAGTAACGTTCGAGGAGAATAATGATGATGATGATGATGATGATAATAAACGATAAAACAACATGCAAAAATAAGTGATACAACACAAGTTCCTCTCGCCACCCAATGACTGGTTGCCCAGCCCATCCCGAGCAGCCTTGGTAACCCCCATTTATATACTCGGCCCCCAGCCAACCCCTAGTTCTATACTGAACATGAGGTCTATGGTATGGAACATTCCTTTGGCCAGTTTGCCCTCTCTGTGCTCCTTCTCAGCTTCTATGGGAAGCTGAAAAAGTCCTTGAGTAATATAAACATTACTTAGCAACAACTAAAACAGTATGTGCTATCAGCATTATTCTCATATTAAATCTGAAACACAGGAGCTACTAGAAAGAAAACTAATTCTATCCCTGCTGAATCCAGGACAACCAGTCACCACAGTTTAGGAGTTTCAGTCTTTCTTCTTAACTTCTCTCATGAATCCCTTGTTATGCTTTACCTATTAAACTGCCTTTAATCTCAGCCCATGAGTTTTCTCCCTTTTACTCTTCCAATTCTCTCATCCCACCAGCAGGAAGGAGTGAGTGAGCTGCTCAGTTGCTGGCTGGGGTTAAGCCACGACAGGTGCCTGTTTCAGAAAACATACTGAATGTAGTTAGGTCTGAGAACCCCACACCACTGCCAAAGCTGGAGAAATTGCTGTACCCAAAAGTGAAGCAATGGGATGCTATTCGGACAGTGATTTGCTGGAGAAATAGCTAAATCAGAATCAAAGGCAGTAAATAAAGCACTAATAAGAGCCTGACAGGGCTTTCAAGTGTATAGTACAATTGAAGTTTTTTGTGATTTCTAGAGATTGGACTGCAGCACGGGGTGGTGCTGCTGATGCATTTACGTCACATCATTTTGTCTCTTCCCACATAAAGGCAAAAGTCATCAGTGCAGTGAAATAGCTGGAGTGCCCTTTTCCAACATTTTTGTGTACACACACATAAGGTTATTTCTAACTTTTGCTTCACGTTCAGTGACTTCACTTTTGAAAATAAAGATAATCAAAGTGGAATTAAATTCACGCTGTGGGCTCTGTGTCTCTTTTACAGAAGAGCTTCCTGGCTTTCCTTGTTGCAATGGGCATCATAGTGACCCTGGGCGATGCATACTGCTTTACTAAACCTCAGAGGCCCGGGGATGCCAAAGGAGGTAAGAACAGGGAACATCTTCTCACTTGATTGTTCTGCAGCAGCTCAGCTCTGTGTGGAGCTGGCCAGGAAGGGCTCAAAATATAAGGGAGGGAGGAGACGTCAGAAAGACATCAAGCTTTCAAAAGAATCTGGGTAACACCCGGAGAACAAAATGACTTCTACTTTGCTATTGTCAAGAAGAACGTTTTCTGAAAACTTGACATAATTTTTAAACTTTTCAGCCTTTTCTTGGAGGCTTAAAGATGATGTTTTGTTTTGCTACTATCTTACGCAGGCTGTCTCTTGGATGGAAAACTGTACCCCTTTGGATGGATTGAGAGGACAGACACTTGCTTCCAATGCAGCTGCAGCCCACATAAGATGAGTTGCTGCTCCCTGTAAGTCTGAACTTCTTGCTAGCATCATTGCTCGTAGAAAAAACACAGCTTTGCACGCGCTGAGGATAAATTAGTTTCTAGGGGCACAAAGAGCCTTTCCTCACCCATGGCACAGAGCTAGAGTAGGCCACGTGCAGCTCTTGATCATTTGGATCCTTGGCTGTGTTGACCTTAGCTCGCTTCTGCTCTCTAGGAGCAGATACAGGCCCTTTTAGAGTCATCCAGTTGATGTTTACCTTTAACTTTGAGGAACACTCTTACACTGCAGTTGTCTTTCCTTAGAAGGGAAAGTGGGGATGGGAGGGAATTCCTTCCAAAAGGGACTTCAGTGAAGCTCCTTTAAAGGGTTTGTGACAATCTGAATCATCAGAGGTGCTTGTCTCCAGTGAACACGCTGACCCTAGAGTGACACGGCTCTGCTCTGAAGTATCTATCTCCATTCCTCTTATCCTACCTTATTTTTTTTTTATTGCTCTCAATCTAACACCTCTTTCTCTTCGCCAACAACAGCTTTCACACCCCTACCGATTATGACAAAGAGAACTGTAAAGTCGTTTTCAACCGGGAAAGCTGTGACTACGACGTGGTGCGGAAGAATGACCCCTCCAAGAAGTGTGCTGTCTACGGCCGTGTGGGCTGACAGCCCAGCTGCTCCCAACCCCTCTGCACTGTGCAATTCCTCTCCCCTTCCTACAGATGCTTTGCCATCAGAGAAGCTCAAAGACGTGGGAGATCTCGTGAGAGAGAGCACTTCAGCATCGCGCTTCTAATCTCCCAATTGTTCTAATAAGAGGCCTAATCAGATGCCATGTCCCATTTCTGTCATTACTTGCATTGGTATCACTCAGCTTCCCTGAATACAATAAATACGGATGAAACACTTTTTTTATTGCTCTCAATCTAACACCTCTTTCTCTTCGCCAACAACAGCTTTCACACCCCTACCGATTATGACAAAGAGAACTGTAAAGTCGTTTTCAACCGGGAAAGCTGTGACTACGACGTGGTGCGGAAGAATGACCCCTCCAAGAAGTGTGCTGTCTACGGCCGTGTGGGCTGACAGCCCAGCTGCTCCCAACCCCTCTGCACTGTGCAATTCCTATCCCCTTCCTACAGATGCTTTGCCATCAGAGAAGCTCAAAGACGTGGGGGATCTTGTGAGAGAGAGCACTTCAGCATCACGCTTCTAATCTCCCAATTGTTCTAATAAGACACCTAATCAGCCATGTCCTATTTCTGTCATTACTTGCGTTGGTATCACTCAGCTTGCCTGAATACAATAAATCCGGATGAAACATCCAGAAACACTTCATAAATGGTCTTTTTATGTAATAACACACCTCGCAATGTCACCTTCTTTGAGAAAGGGATGCATTCACCCACTGCTCCCACAAGCCGTGCCCCAGCACCCTGGCCCAAGCCACGCTCACGCTTTACAGGTTCTGTTCCAGCCAAGGGTCACAGCAGATGTTTTAGCTCACCAGGTACCAAAATCCATTTTCATTTGGAAGGGATGCACTGTTTGGGACGTGTGCTGTACAACAGCTCCTACTCAGGGCACACAGTAAAATCAGAAGGATTTAGCGTGGTATGTTTTCTCTGGCTTTGTTTTTGGTAATTTGCCCGTGAACATTGTTTAAAATTTTCTTATGGCTTCACTTAAGATGACTCCTTTGGGGGGAAAAAAAGCCAAACATTTTGCAAGCATTGGTATTACATTCTTAGCCTTTTAAATTTCTCCAGACCACAGAACGTGTATCAATCAGTAACTCCGTGTTTCTGTGCAATTTCTTCCTGCCAGGCTGAAAAAAATGTGAGGGACCAGAATAAGAATCAGTTCAGCTTTTTCCAGTACAAGCATTCGCCTGTGCCTTTTTTAAAATCTGACTTTCATTCACCAATTTATTCATGTCAGTCCTCAAATTTCCCCTAAACAGCAGCACGTGGAAATGAGTGTTCTTATAGTTGATTAAGGTTTTAAGGTAAGTTTTCTCCAAAGAGTTTTCAGTCTCAACTGGTATTTGAAGGAATGTTCGCACTTACAGAACAAACAGCTGCAGCTTAGGAGAAAGAATATTTTGAGCATGGAGATCCAAAGACTTCCCACCGAAAACAGCTCACAGAACTGTTTCTTGAGAAAAAGCAGGTTTTGTGTATGTTTTTAAAATCTCAGTTTTAAAAATAAACATTTTTATCGCTCACGAAAGGGGTTTGGAGGCTCCCCATGGATTATTTTCTTTTAATTCAAGCCACTGAGAACTGCACACCTCAGGTTTAACATCCAGTTTGTTGTAGGCTGGAACTGTGCCAGGTGGTACCGGAATGATTTCAGCATTACTGTAATCTTCCAAATTAAGGCTACAGTTTTCTTACGAAAACTAATCGATTATCTCATAATGTTAACAGCATTACCACAGATAATTTTGGGCTTAGGGTTGTTTTTCTTTGCGTTCATGAGGTGATCCAGCTGCAGGAAAGCAGGATGATGAATCACTCACCCTGTTTTGAATACTTGTCATTATTTGAATACCACAAAGAACAGGGTTATATGTGTGCAGGACAGAAACATGGAGAGGTACCAGTTTGGTTTTCCATCCTTCCCAGCAATGAAACTGCTTGTTGATGGCTAGTTGAATTTCAATAACTTCCCCAGGCTTGCTTGGAGGTTTGTGAGCGTATGATCCTCAAAGTTATCAAAAATGTTCCCACCAGATAAAACTTCCTTCTAGCACATTTACAATATGTTTCTGTGTCAACAGTGCACTGTATATTTTAGTGCTGTTTGCTCTTGCTTAAAACAGTTGTCCTTTCTCACATGCGGACGTGGCAGACTTTAACATTTGTAAAACCGGTGTACATTATACATCACATTGTCAGTTTAAGGACACAAATTTATTTGTAAAATTATGTTTGCTTATGATCTGTGAGCTGATATGCCTCACGCTTCCTCTTGCTTTCCCCCTCCCAACGGCAGGGATAACAAACCTACTGGTTTTAATGGCTGGACATGTGAATTTGGCTTCCATAAAGAAACCTGCACTTATTCTCTCCTGCGGGAAGCTGGTTCCTCTCGAGAATGTGAAATTAGTACTGAGATGTTGTTCCCCAGGCTTGCTTGGAGGTTTGTGAGCGTATGATCCTCAAAGTTATCAAAAATGTTCCCACCAGATAAAACTTCCTTCTAGCACATTTACAATATGTTTCTGTGTCAACAGTGCACTGTATATTTTAGTGCTGTTTGCTCTTGCTTAAAACAGTTGTCCTTTCTCACATGCGGACGTGGCAGACTTTAACATTTGTAAAACCGGTGTACATTATACATCACATTGTCAGTTTAAGGACACAAATTTATTTGTAAAATTATGTTTGCTTATGATCTGTGAGCTGATATGCCTCACGCTTCCTCTTGCTTTCCCCCTCCCAACGGCAGGGATAACCTCACGCTTCCTCTTGCTTTCCCCCTCCCAATGGCAGCGGTAAAACCTACTGGTTTTAATGGCTGGACATGTGAATTTGGCTTCCATAAGGAAACCTGCACTTATTCTTTCCTGCAGGAAGCTGGTCTCTCTCAAGAATGTGAAATTAGTACTGAGATGTTTGGTTAAGAAACAAGATTCCTGGACTTCTTTTATTCTAGCGCATCTCTTCTTGCTTTAAGGCTGATCATCTTGCATTCCTCTTATTATCTCTGTGGTCAGTGAGATGTAACCAGAAACACCTAGTGAAGAATCGCTAAGTAAAACAGGTAAAACTTTGAGAAAGTCCCCTGAGGTTTCCCCTGCCGTAGGAAGAAACAGGATACTCTGTTCAGCAGCATATGTGGAAAGAGGGCACAGACCTTAGAATCCCTTCCAGTCCCTAAAGGGGCTACAGGAGAGATGGGGAGGGACTCGACCAGGGAGGGGAGCCATAGGATGAGGGGTAATGGTTTGAAGCTGAAAGAGGAGAGATTTAGTTGAGATACTAAAAAGAAATTCTTTGCTGTGAGGGTGGTGAGACACTGGAAGAGGTTGCCCAGAGAAGCTGTGGCTGCCCCATCCCTGGAGGGGTTCAAGGCCAGGCTGGATGGGGCTTGGAGCAACCTGGTCTGGTGGGAGGTGTCCCTGCCCAGGGCAGGGGGTTGGAACTCAATCTTTAAGGTCCCTTCCAACCCAAAACATTCTCTGATTCTAAATTGGCTTCATACATATTTGTGAGAGATCCAAAGCAGACAGTTGAACTCCATTGATGTCGGTAAAGACATTCCCAGTGCCTGTGCTCCTGGGCTGACATTACCAGTCAAGGACATGAGCCGAGTGGTTGTGGTGTCCATCATTTTCTGTTTCAGGGTGGTGTATAGATCAGCATTGCCAAATCTAACTTACTTAATGATAAGTTGATTGTGGGCAGCTCCATCCAACCTACAACTACCTGCAAGCACTTCAGCTCTTTTCTGCCATCTTGAAGAAAGATCTGACAACTGAAGAAAAACAGATTCACCCAACCTATGGAGCTGAAAGCCAGCTAAGGCAGCACCTGTGAGTGGTGGTCTCACTGTGACCTGAGTTGCAATACTGCTGCCTTTCTCACATGGACTTCCTGAGATCTTGTGTAGCAGACATGAAGCTTGGAGTTCAACCTCAACTCTCAGCCTCACACAAAAGGCAACATAATTAGGCAGCCAGAATAGTTCACATCTTGCAAACTGTGTAGCCCTGGTAATGAGGGGAAGGCTTCTTCCCCTGCCAGGGCTCCCCAGTTTGCAATATTTGAACCAAGTAGATGAAAGCTCAGCAAAAGGAGACTGTACTCGACTCCTTTGCTATCAAATCCCCATCCCAAGTGTTTGGAAAGCGTGCCTCTCCCTGACAAGTACAGCCTCTACAGAAAAGGGGACAAACTCTCCCCAGCTGCAAGGATGAAAGAAGAAAATATACGATGCCTATTTTTTCCCCACTCACTCGCAGAGGACCTGAGCATATGGGTTTTCTACGTGATGAAAGACTAAACAATGAAGAAAAGAGTTACCAAGAAGCCTTTTCTCAGGGCCTACAGATGCCAGCCCCTCTCCACAGAAACCCCACTTTCTGTGTAACCCTTCCAACAACCCCCCATTTTCCACAAAGAACCTTCTTCAATCTTTAGCTGATGAACAAGAAAGCTGGATGATTGCTTCTAGGTTTTAAGAGGCAAACTTTAAAGGTTTGAAATTCCTTCTGAAGTCCCTCCCATAACTGCCTTCCAGATCTGGTTGTGGCACAGAAGCCACACCTGTTTCCTCAGTGTCTTTCAGAACCAAACCTTCCTGTACATAATTGGCTTCTTTTCATGATGTCCACCCAAATGAGGTCATTTTGCAGAAACCTCATTGGAGTTATTCAGGCATGTTCAGTTTGCTCAAGGACTGTTATCATAAAATCCCTCTCTATATAAGTGCTCTGAGCCGATGAGCTTCTCACAGGTCCTCTCCTTGCTGGAAGCTTCATAATTCTGCAAAAATGGTGAGTCCTTATGGCTTATACTATAAAAGATCACTGCAGATTTTAAAGGAGGTTCTGTTGGATTTATCTCAGTGCTCAGAGATCTAAGCAACTTGGAGAAAGTAGAAATTCTGTATTTTGAAAGCTAAAGTCAGGCAGATAGGCACAGGCGGGTACAAACCTTGGGTAAGAGATATTAGCATGTATATGGCAGGAAGAGGCTAATAGGACTCCAGCTAAGGTTTTTATTACAATCTGTTTCACTTGCATGTAATGTTTGGAGGTAATCTCTTTTCTGGCAGAAAGCAGCTCAATCTGGAACCGGCCTTCATTTTTGTGAAAAGCCTGGATAACATCCGAACATTTAGTTAAACTCAAAAACGTTGTCTTGATTTTTACTCATTTGCAGTTCTGGTGGTTTACCCTCTCATCTGCAAAATGAAAAGCTAGTTTTTCCTCCTCCCAGCTCTCAGATATGACTTCTCTTTGTAAGTCACCAGTTCTACCCTGTCCAAAAGCCCCCACATACCAATGCGCTATACTTGAGTGTATCGTATCCCATTGTTTATTCCTGGCCTACCTTCCCTCTCTTACCAAGATTTTAAATTCCTCAGAGCTAATTCCACCCTAGAGTTCTGGCACTTACTCCCTTTGTATCCTCAGTGAAAGCCCTTCAAACATTTGAAGGATAAGGGACTCATTGAGGAATTTAAGCTGAGCTTCCAGGAAGAGCTGTTGACAAAGGTCATTAAATGTAGAATTATCTAGGTTGGAAGGGACACCTGCAGGTCCTTTGGTCCCACCTCCTGAAGGGCCAAATCTTGAGGGTTCAACTTCAGCTAATGTTCTTCAGCTTGTTCCTAATCCTTCAGTATTAGGATAAAACATCCAGTGGGTGCTTCAGACTCCAGTGAAGAAGTGTTTACAACTATGAGTGAGGTTAGCAGCAGAGACAGCTGGTGACCAACGTTATGGAGAAAATAACAACAAGAGAAATGGGTGGGGAAGGGGGAGGAATAGGACACACACCTTTCACAAACAGTCTCTATCAGTCCTGTATTAGGTAATGCTTGATTTAAACACTATTTTTCCCCCCCCGTCTCCACATAATGCTCTGCCTCTGCTTCTTCAAAATCTCAGTATTTCTGTGTGCTTAAGTGTCTGAACTGCAAAAGACGATTGGATTTTGATTTGAAACCACCATGTATTGTCCTATTTCTAACGGTAGCATTTATTGTCAAAATACTTTAATAGTTACTTAAGTATTCATATGAATTCTGGTTTCTTGTCCAGAAAACCACCTTGGCCTGCCTCCTTCTTCTCGCCATTAGCGTGACACTGTCCGATGCTTATTGCTTCTTTGAGCGGTTCAAGCCAGCGATCTCTGATGGTGTGGTCATAGGTAAGAAGTCAGCTGTCCTCAACTTGACAGACACTGCCTGATTTGATTTGTCTGTTCGGTGCAATTTATCATAATTCAGAAATAAGTGGAAAAAGTGGAAAGGAACCACTAGGAAATCGGGGGCAAATAGGGCATGGAAAGCAGGGAATTTTCAATATGCTATAAAAAAAAATTATGAAGAGTTTATGTGAGGAGCATCACACAGGCCAAATTACAAATGAGTTTTGTCTGGGGAAGTAGCATAGGCTTAGTTTATCCATCTGCATGGAGTAACAATCCATGTTTTCACGATGGCAACATATTTAGAAATAAAGAGCAGGGAGGGGAAGCCCTTTCTGTATTTGTGTGTGGGGCGAGTATAAAGCAGGGAACAGACTGGCAAGAGCTCAGCACCCTGACTAATTAACTCATTAGTTGTTTTCCTAAGTTGTTTTCCAAAGGAAAGTTCTTGAGAACAGAATGGCTACTCCCCTTGAGTCTGGGACTGCTCTTCCTGAACACAACTAGTCTGTCTGTCTACAGACGAGTGGAGCTGAAGGAAAATAAACACTCAAAACATGCAATTATTTGGGGACAAGAAGAGCTGATGTGTGCCAGTAGGCAAAATAAACCGAGTGCCCAAAACAGAGCTTTTTCTGAGAAAGCCAGTGCTACTACTAGAAAAATCAGGTAGCATTGCCAAAGAAACAGAACATATTTATAGACAAAGACATCTAGAACCCCCAAATCCTCCACTCCGTCTTGTTGCCTCTTAATAAAATCCTGCTTTTCAGGTCACTCAGAAACTCTCTTCCGTGACTGTTGGACAGGAACTTTGCATCCAATATGTGGATTGGGAAAAGTTTTATGGGCAAAGTTAATCTTGCTTGAAATGAGGAGTCAACAATATTTGGTGGCAATTAGGAAGTCAAAGCCTTTACTTAATTCTGACCAGGTCTCTGCCTAGTTTCCTTCCCGCTGGGTGCTCCCATTTCTGTGCTCCAGGAAAACTGATGCTGCTGGGAAACAGGGGGGGACCCAGGACACCCTTCTCCATGTGTTAGGATAGTAGTAGTCCTGCTCTGCTGGGAATCCTCCGTGATTGTTGGCTTCTTACTTTAACACCCCCATATGGCAAAGATCTTTGCACAAGCAACAGCATTGCACACTGTGTTTTCAGGCTGCCTTGACTTAAAGGGGGTGGCACATAAATTTGGTTCCTGGAAGACAGAAGACTGCCACGATTGTTCCTGTGACAAGAGTGGAATCCAGTGCTGCTCCAGGTGAGTCCAGAGCAGCGGGGAGGGGGGTTCCTCCGCTGCCGTGATACAGCACAAATCCCTTCCCTTCGCACAAAGTGTCACTGAGACATGACCATGAACCTTCTCTCACTCACTTCATATCACCAAGTTCTGCATTAACCCAACACCATTATCCCTGAACATGCAAGAAATTCCTCTGACATATATTCTTGACTTTAAAAAAGGACTTAATTCTTCTTGAAGCTATAAAATCTGGCAAGATACTGATTCAAGAGAGAACATATAGTTACTTAAGAATTTTGCCATATGCTCCTGATCCACATCTTCCACATCTTGACAGGCTGAGAGAGTTGGGGTTGTTCAGCCTGGAGAAGAGAAGGCTCCAGGGAGACCTTAGAGCCCCTTCCAGTCCCTAAAGGGGCTCCAGGAGAGATGGGGAGGGACTCTTCATCAGGGAGCGGCGCCATAGGATGAGGGGGAATGGTTTTAAACTGGAAGAGGGGAGATTTAGATTAGACCTCAGGAAGAAATTCTTTCCTGTGAGGGTGGTGAGACACTGGAAGAGGTTGCCCAGAGAAGCTGTGGCTGCCCCATCCCTGGAGGGGTTCAAGGCCAGGCTGGATGGGACTTGGAGCAACCTGGTCTGGTGGGAGGTGTCCCTGCCCAGGGCAGGGGGTTGGAACTGGATGATCTTTAAGGTCCCTTCCAACCCAAACCATTCTATGAATCCCAAAGCCACACATAGTCCCTCTTTACTCCGAGAAGCAGCCCAAGATACTCTGGCCTGTCTGCAATTTTCACTATAGTGACGCCCAACCACTCATGCAATTCTTGTTACATATATTGAAAAGAAAAATAAATTATATTCAATTAGGAAACAAATACAGCAAACATCCCTTGGGTGTTTGTTAGGTCAGTAAACAACAGTTCTCTCCTAACCCTGCTTAAGCAGCAGGCTAAGTAATTTTTTAGCTGGGGGCCTTGTGTGAGCACCCTTTTCTGCTCCTGAGCACCTCTTCAGGATAGCCTCTTCCTATTAAGAGTGTAGATGCCATCTCAAATGGAAGCTGTTTACCTCTTGGCCTCATCACCACTTTATCTTTCTTTTTCCACTGACAGCTATGCATCACCATCTGGCTACGATGAAGAGAAGTGTGAGAGCATTTTCAACAAGGAGACCTGCACTTATAAAGTAGTGGAGAAAAATGATCACTCAAAAGAATGCCCAGTTGAAGGGTGGGTGGGCAAATGAAGCATTGTGGATTTGGGAGATATTTCTTTTTGTTTTTTTCTTTTAAAGGTTTTCTCTCTCTCAAATTAAAAAATACTGAATAATGCAGCTGTTGAGTGAAATCTACTCATAAAACCTAACACATAATAAAAATGAATATCTACTCACAGCAGGCTCCCATGGTTTCTCTGCCTTCTGCTTCCCCAGGAAGAAAGAACCGATTTGTTCCTTGCTTGAAAGCAGAGATTAAAAGCTGACATTTTTAAGCATCCTCAGTAGCTGCTAATTTTAGTTCTTCTCCAGTCACACTTCTGGGAGCATATTCTGTTATCTGTGCACAGCTGTATCTTAAAGCTAAAATAAAATCAGATGAAGCATCAGAACTTCATGTGACTTATTTTCTTCTTTGAGGATCGAAGCCTAAAGAATTATCATTCCAAAACAACACAGGAAAGAAATGAAGAACAACTTCAAAATCTTTCTGAACTCTCTCTTTTCTGGTAGAGTGTCTTATATGATGATCTTTTATCCAATATCATTCCCTGGGCCTGCCTAACCGTTGAACTACAAGACTCACCAGCTACCCAGTTTGACCCAGCACTGTACTTCCATTGCACCCACAGTCCTCAGCCTGGGGTTTGGGTAAGAGAAAGGGTGTTTTAGTCAGATTAACACTAAAAAAAATTTAATTTGTTACACCAGCCACGGGCAGGACTGTGGGTGGATGGAGAGACTGCTCTGGATTGGGCTCATATGGGGAATAAGTTCAGCAAATCCACAAACAATAACCGAGAGGGACACGTGCTGGTATGAGCTCTCCCTCAAGTGCTGCCTCATCATCTTCATGGGCACATTTGTTGACTTGCCTCTTTCTACAGGTGTCTGTGAGCACTCTGTGTCTCCATGCTCCATTTCCCCGCAACAGGAAGAGCGTATCAGAGCACCCCCTTCTTTGGTACCATCTTTAAAGGTCCCATCTAACCCAAACCATTCCACTGATGTCTTTCTCTCTGCAAGAGACTTCCAGGTTCAATTGTAAGACTTTATGTTCTCTATAGTCATGGCTTAAGTAAGCTGTGATGAAAGATTTACTTTCCTTATTGAGGCTGAGCAGACCTATGCACCCAAATTCCAGAGAAGCCAGCCTTACTAGCACTCCTACACGATCCAGACCTATTTAACCACCCAAGCACGTTTCTCCACCATGTGCCAAGGCTTGTTACAATATGTAGATCTACCCTGTCTTCTGTGCAGAAGCAGGAAAGTTTCATTCCATGTCAAATCCAGAAATCCTCCAGGGAGCAACTTGCTCTTGTCTGCCCCAAGTTCCAGCACAGAAACAGGTGATGTTTCCTATGGCATCTAGTTTTGGAGCACCAGAAGCACGGCAGAGACTTGGCAAGCAAGAAGTCTAGCTGTGGGAGGATGACAAAACCTTCAAAAATTAGGAAAGTGGAGACAGAGCACACACACTTTTGTTCTTCCCACTTTTGCCAAGAGATGTTTTCTCTCGGCATTTCACAACTTCAACACACACGAAAAATACATCCCTCCACCCTCAAAGCCTTAGATCGTAACACCACTAGCTCCACACAGTGGAAAGGAAACGTTCACATCAGAGTTTCCTCAATTATCCTGACACGATAAAGGTTTAATAGACTCTGGAGAACCTTGGAAGGCAACGCAGCCCAGGCAGAGCAGATGTTCAGGCTACACGGCGGGGAGCAGGACAGTTCTCCTGGAAGCCCTGCTAGGAAGCCAGGCAGTTTCAGATAGCTGGACCTCCACCCCCAGTAATTCTTTTCAAGGCAAGTCTTTCGGGTACCGAAAAGATGTTCTTGCCCTAAAAATAAAATCTAGTGCTTAGCCTACCAGCTACAAAGTCCTTTAAACCAAAGACCAGAACACACATATAAATCTGATGGAAGTTTTCCTATTAAACAGTGCTTATCACCTAAAACTTAATGGTTTTGTACCCAGTTCGTTTGTTTCCATTGAGATTTTTGGCACAGTCTTAAAAATAAAATCCAAATCAAACAATCACAAACAAGGAAAACACTCATCTCATTTGCATTATGCATACCAAAGAAGCTAGAAATTTGCAGTTCACATTCTGCTTTGTGCCAATTTTGGAAAACAAATTCAATTAAGAACAATTTTGCTTGTTGACTTGGCTCTTGGTTACCTCTCCTGTTGGTATGCAGGAAAGTTTGCGTTGGCACCTTTCGAAATCTTCTCTTCAAATCTAACATCGTGTGCGTGTTTCCCTGGGCCCAGTTGTGGGGTTTTTTTTTTAGGGCAAACTGTCTGGCTTTGTAACAGATATTGACATGAAACTCCAGAATAAGAAAGTCATACGACTACTCTAAAACACTCAGAAAGATCTGGTTACTTGAACACTCCTCCCCACCTCCTAAAATTCTGTTTTCACATCTCATTTATTTCCGTGTGTGAGTCTCAGCCACTGACTCGTGCCTTTTACACTTCTCTAGGGCTTCAGTGCTTTTATATAGTCAACACTTCAAGTAGATCTCCATTATGGAGCATTGATAGGCTGCAGTCCTTTACCACCACAAGATAACCTACTTCAAAATATTCCAGTATTTTCCCCACCATAATTCCAGAGGCTTCTCCCATTACTGCCCTGGCCTGCCAGAGATAGGGTAAATCTACAAAAACAAGCAATTTTTGTGTATATATGTATATATAACTATAACAGCTTGGAGATGGTGAAGTAATTCATTCCCTAAGCTGTATAACACACAACTCACTCCAGTCTGGGGGGTGAAAGGCAGACCAGCATTCATTCAACATTCTTTAGAACTCCTGAAGTTATAGACTGGATTATTTAACAAAATCCCCATTTTCCAGCTCAGTTGTTTGCCCCTATCTGTAGCAATTGGCCGTGTAAGGCAGACGCCTGGATGAGTTGGGTCCAGGCATAGAGCGTTGTCCTCTAATATTAACAGCAAATTATACAAATGGTTAAATGATATCAACTCTGTAGCATTACTATGGATCCTGCAAGAGGCATTTGTGAGCCTAACACCCAGAAGTTCAGCATCTCATTTGGCTACATGGCTGGCCTTAGACCTACGTTCTTAGGATATAATTACAGTTGAGCAGCCGATAGCCCTCATTAACCTCTCCCTTCACTTTCTTCCAAGTACTTCTTTTAAATGGGGGATTCTTCCATCTTTCTTCAGGAAAGAAGGGGCTCAAAAATTAGAATGACCAAAATTGCACAAAAAATGGAGAGTGGCATGCCAGTATTCTTAGTCTGATGCTCACTGCCAGCTCAGAATTTCAGAGAGAACCTAAGTTCTTCAGCAAACTAAGTGGGAAGTATCAGGAGCTTGGTTCTGATGCTCACTGCCAGCTCAGAATTTCAGAGAGAACCTAAGTTCTTGAGCAAACTGAGCGGGAAGCATCAGGAGCTTGGTGGAGCAGATTGCTGTTACATCCCAGCTACAGTAGTACAGTTTATTTATCTACAGATATGGCAGCTCCAGAACTTCCTTTTTCTGTTGCTGCTGAGTTTTTTGTTCACTTTGTTCATTTTTCTCTCCTATAAATTGACTGGAGTCACTAGATGGCATCCTCGTTCTGCCACTGTGCTCCTGCGCTGGAGGGAGTGGATGGACCTGTGGGAGCCACAGGGGACACAGAAACCTGGATCCTGACTCAGCTGACAGACTTGGGCTCAATTTCTGTTCGCTCCAGTAAAGTTTAAGAACACAAGTGGCATTTTAGAAGTTTCTTTATTCTATATCTTTATATTCTATACCCAAGGAGGTATCATAGATGGGACTGAGTAGTTTTAAGAGGTTTATTATATTTTTTTTTTTGAACTTAGACATAGACTAGCCTGCCTGAATTAGTAGAGGAGAAAGGAAGACTTAAATAACACTGCTTCAAAGTTTCATTCAGGGGGCAGATGCATTAGCACCTTATGATTGCTAACAGATTAAAACCAGGAGTCTCCCCTTGCAGCACAACAGTGTGCTAAGTCAGAGCCTGCCTGAATTAGTAGAGGAGAAAGGAAGGCTTAGCAATAGCACTGCTTCAAAGTTTTATTCAGGGGGCAGATGCATTAGCACCTTGTGATTACTAACAGATTAAAACCAGGAGTTTCCTCTTGCAGCACAACAGTGAGCCGAGTCAGGTGTGATGGCTTGAAGACATCACTAGGAATAAAGGGGAAAGCTTCATATTAATTCTGAAATAGGCTAGTTCACAGAGGAAAAAAAATAGCACTGCAGTCTATTTTTGGGAAGAGAAACTGCTTAATCTTTCTTAACAGTAGAAGCATTAATAGGACCAATCTTATGCTTTTAAGCTTGTGGTAACCAACTTCTTTCTTACAGACCTCTCAAACTTCAGTTTTATTGTATCAGTTTCTGGCTATACTGCCCTTTTCCCACTAAAACCAGGAGTTTCCTCTTGCAGCACAACAGTGAGCCGAGTCAGGTGTGATGGCTTGAAGACATCACTAGGAATAAAGGGGAAAGCCTCATATTAATTCTGAAATAGGCTAGTTCACAGAGGAAAAAAAATAGCACTGCAGTCTATTTTTGGGAAGAGAAACTGCTTAATCTTTCTTAACAGTAGAAGCATTAATAGGACCAATCTTATGCTTTTAAGCTTGTGGTAACCAACTTCTTTCTTACAGACCTCTCAAACTGCAATTTTATTGTATCAGTTTCTGGCTATACTGCCCTTTTTCCACTATATTTTTCTTGCTTCTCAATAATAGAGAAGGCAGATGTCAGAAAGCAATTCCTAATTCTTTGAAGAAAAAAAAAAAATGTTTGCCCGGTTGATAGAGGCTTTCAACTGTCCATGCCACTAACTGCACTTAACCTATATTTTTCTTGCTTCTCAATAATAGAGAGGGCAGATGCCAGAAAACAATTCCTAATTCTTTGAAGAAAAAAAATTTTTGCCTGGTTGATAGAAGTTTTCAACTGTCCATGCCAGTATCTGCACTTAATGTCAGCTTTAGAAGTTAATTAATGTGCATTGTATTAGAGCAGGATCCCTTAACTTTGAAGGTAACAAGCTCCATTTGCTAACCTTACCTCTGCCCAGCCTTCCTGGTTACAGTCTTCCTAAAGGTTTTGCTATGGGCAGGACTAGAAGCTCCTTCTGCATGTCCCCCAAGATTTCCAGCCAGACTCCTTGGAGAGGAGTCAGGAGTCAATATGAAGACAGAGAAACAAGTGTGTGTACTGGATTAGTCTGTGCAACACTTCTCCATCCTCCCCCCCAAAAAAACCCCAGCAGTTCAGAGCTGTGAGTGCTACACATTACTGTTGACAGTAAAAAGCATCTTCAACTGAAGAACCCAAGACCACTAGTACAAAAAGGCAGTAAGACACTC